GTAATGGCCCTGAGCACACCCCAAGAGGATTTTGATTAACCCCAAGAGGATTTTGATCCTGACTTCGTAAAGATGGATGGATTTCTAGGATGGGGTCAGTGGTTGGTTGTATGGTCTTGGTAGGAGGAGCCGATATCAGCCGAATGCTGCACAGGTAGCCCCACATTGCCGGTGTCAACGCGAGACGCCGAAGACACAGGCGCTGCGGCAAAGCGACAACGGATTTGGAGTGACTCAGCAGCGTTTTGGTTACCGGATACCTGGCCTTCTGAAAGAGGGAATCGAACCGCTCTTAGAGGCATTTTTGTTGTCAAAGCGGGAAAGCGGATGGGTGTCAGTATGTGCACCGGAAGTCATGAGTAACGCGCGATACGATGAGCTGTGCAAGGGAATGAATTCAAGGGAGTGGCGATATGCCATACCAGTCAGTTCTCAACTGACGATGAATTTGTGATCGGGTACTATTATCACTTCAAAAAGATAGGCGAAGCTGAGAGATCATGGCTACTAGCCAGACAACAGCCTCCCCGTACGGCCCACCTGCACATATAATGCAGTCAAAAAACACCGAAATCCCCAAGAGCTACCTCTACGCATACTCCTCTGCATACTTCCAAATCGCATCCCAGTTCTTGCACTCATGCGGAAAATCCAGTCCGTCAACAACCGCCAGGCCCGTGTTCTCCGAGACGAACTCGAGCGACATATCCGCCGAACACGTCACAGCCTGTCTGAGATAGTCAAAGCAGTGCGCGTAGTGCCACATGCCGTGGATAGCCTGGTCGTAGGTTGGCTTGGTGATGTCGTCTGGCCAGGTGCGCAGCATCTTTTCCGTGTCTACTCGCCCGCCCACGAGCTCCCACATGAAATGTCTCAGAGCGCCCTGTGTTGTGGACATGAATGTCAGCACTCCATAAATGTTAAGATGTATTGAGTGCTTGGGGGGTCCTACCAGGCAATGAAGCTGATGGAACACTGAGAGGCCGGCCTTGGTGTCTGGGTAGTTGAAGCCGTTGTTAGGATCAAGGTTGATGAATCCTCGCCCATTAGCTGTGGATAAGGTGGTTGTTAGCGCGGGCTTTCCAAGGTCGAAGTTTGTGCACATGGATATATGACTTACGACCAGGCAGGTCCCTCCACGCTATGTTGCTCTCATTTGTAGGCAGAGACAAGAACAAAGGGTCCAACTTAAACGTCCGAATCTCGTGAGGAACTGTGATGATGCGAACGCGATATTAGCGGAGCCCGGACATGGGCAAAGGAGGGGATTCCCTCAAGGCGGTTTGACAAACAATCTGGTACTGGCGAATTCAACAGTTTCTTGGGGGTCGTAGTGTTATTCCTTGTAGCATATCTCACCGCAAAAGCAACCACAAGGGCGATGTTTAGAACGAAGGAGATGAGAAACCGTTTCTTGAAGAGCTGGTTTCGTCCAGCGGCCGCTCTGGGAAGGCCACCCTCAGCGTCATCCGAGGCTTCGTGGTCCTCCTGCTTCAGGGAGGCGTAAGCTGGCAGGGGTTGCTTTTGCTTTGCGTGCAACCAGGGAAGAGCAAACATTTTGGCTAGTGGTGAAAAGCAACAGAGGAGATTGAAGTTTGTCCCCGTGTGCACCGACTGATACGGCGGTTAGTGGAAATGAGGAAACAGAGAAAAAATGCGGCTTCGATGTGGAAGAATGACCGTGTAATGGGCGATATCCTAGAAGAGATGTATCTGAGCTCCACATAGGAGAAATGTTCCCGAGAATTGCCGCCGTCTTTCAGTCACTGAAGGTAACTGCGAATGCCAGCCCGTCCATATTCGGATGTCAGACGGCGTGACGCCGCTCGCCCGTGCAGGGCCGCTGGCAACCAACTGGTCTACTGGCCCCACCCCCTGTCCCCAACTAGGAACCAGCTCCATGCCATCACTGCTCCCCCTTCCAGCGATGCCCGGCATCTTACTTATCTGCACTAGCTCTAATTTTGTTTCGTTTTCGTTGACGGCGTCGTAGAGTTCTGTCTTCTTGCTGGTCCGTCATGGCCAACTCTACGTGGACTCGGCTCGCTCGATTCTGGCGCCCAAGTTCCTCCCAGATCTCCCCTGGAGTCTACCACGACATTGATGGAAAGGATGCAGACGCAGAGTCACAAGAGGGTCTTCTCGAGGAGGATGGAGAGGAGCTTAACTCTGCCGGTGAATCATTGAAGTGGAGGATTATTCGAATATGCACCTTGTTAGCCAAGATCTTCTTTATTGTGTCTTACGTCCTGTTGGCATACCGCGCCTGGAAGAGCCGGCAACAAGAAACATGTATACTTGGCAACGAAAGTGAGTCCAGCCGCTACGCAAGCTCAATGACAAACCTCAGGCTCCATGCCGTTTCGAGAACACCCAACTCACCCCGCAAACAACAGAGATCTTCGACGACGTCCCAGTCATCTACGAAAGCGCCCGCTTCCAACGCGCTGGCTTTCACGATTCACGCCACAATACGCTCAACATTTACGAAGGCGCACCAAATGGCGAGAATGAAAAGGCTTGGAAGAGGCTGCTGGATGGTCCGCCAACCGACTTGTCTGGGGAGTTTACGAGCACAAAGACTAACCAACATTTGCATTGCAGTTGGCGTCGTGCTGATTTCGGACGACGAGAGTTCGAGAATCACAAACGGCTCCGCGTCCACGAGACAAGATGCGCACAAGCACATTGTTGAGCTCGAAATGTTTCACCAACTCCACTGCTTGGTGAGAAAAGTCCCATCCGAGTTCCGAACCCAGTGATTGATACGTCCTGTGTCATGATCACCTGAGGTATACCGGCTAACCAGTTATATTAACTCCCTTCTCTTCTGCAGAAATGGCTGCGCGATCAGTTCTGGGAGTGCCACGCCGCCTTCGAAATGACACACCCCGTCATCTCTGATGTCCCGCAACGGAGCAACCCCACTGGTAAATCACCTCTCTTTTCAGCTCCTAGCTCTGCGTGACTGGGTTGCTAACCTGATGTCAAAGATCATTGCATCGACTATCTACGACAGGTCATCATGTGCCACGGCGACATAACACCCATCACGTTTGAGTAGATCCCAGAGATCCCGGGCTATATCGCTCACCACAGCACAGAGCATCAGTGCCGCAGGTTTGAGCCCATCTATGAATGGGCTAGACGACGGGGGGCGCCTGGGGCACATGCGGATGCAAATCATACGAACGTGGAGTTGAAGACTCCTGAGGTATTTGACTAGAGTTGACGAGGTATACTTAATACGCGTGGGCTGAGGTGTTCTTACTCTAAGAGCGGAATCCGGGCCGCATTCAAGAGCTTTGTTCCGCGAGATTAGTTCTCTTACTCCCGTGTTGGAAGTCTATGTATGGGCGTCGGATGCAGTGAGGTTATAACAGCGTTCAGTTTCCTGCGACTGTGTTTTGCTTTGTAGTACATGTTAATTTGCGTCCATATTTTCTCGCAACAATATCAGGTATCGCTTTGCAACTGTGAAGATGTACCAAATTTTGCCTCTCTGAAACGAAAACTCCCGACAATCCACACAAGGCGCTGGCATACCCGCTGCGCTCTGTTGTCGTCTTCAAAGCATCATCTTGAGACACTCGATAGACTAAGTTTGCCTACATGCGGAGAGTCGGTGATTCTTTCCAGGCTGCGACATATTAGACATAGCTTGCCTCAGGGTGTTTCTTGACATGATCAGCGGTGGGGAGCGGATGCTGCAGAGCGAGTCGCTCTCAACTCAGAGCGTGCCGCTCACACGACTCCTTCAATACCACCTGACCTACATGCACTGACGTCTCGCCGGTGGAAATCTCTGCATGCACCCCCTTCCGTAACGATACCAGGTACCTAGAAGCCATGTCGGTACCTTACCACAGTTCGCTAGGTCGGATAGGCACCCATACGGCGTCTCGGTCGGCGTCGCCACGGTTGAAACTAACCGCAGAATGTGTCGGCAGGCAACGCCGTGAGAATTGAAGCAACAACCCCATACTACCAACCCCAACAATCAGCAACTCCTATAATAACATCTCAACCCACCTGCTCCTCAGCTCTCACACATCAACTCCTCACCAGTCCACTGCGCAACCCCAAGCCTCCAACCCCCAAACACTGTTCCACCAACCAACCAAACCCAACACTCAACTCAAAAGCCAACATGCATCTCATCAAGGCCCTCCTCGTCCTGGCCGTCGGCGCCTACGCAGCCCCCGCCCCCGTCCCCGCTCCCGGCGTGGCCGTCGCCGCTAACAACATCGAGGCCCGCGAGGTGGAGACCGCCGAGGCCAAGGCCAAGCGATGCTCGTACAACTGGATCAAGCGCGACGGCGAGGACGGGCCGATCGAGATCGATGCCTGCTAAGCACTAGACTGGACCTGATTACAGCCGGTACTTGACAACCAAGGTAATAATGATAGCTGTCTAGAATGAGTCGCTGGTTTTATCTCTCGCAATGAATGCTGATAAGTACAATGGCGTTCTAGTCTAGGATGCTTGGAGTGGGCGCTTGCAGGTTGGGAGCTTGGGGTGCACGTTTGGTCGACGGGAGGAGGAATTTGGGGGAGGGGAGGGGATATGTTGAGGGCTGGGTCAGAATGGGGAGGTCACAGGTCTTGTGCAAGGTATGCCAGATTATCACGGGTCTTATTTCACTCCTCTGCCGTACACGAATCGGAGTTGCGGCAAGACCCATAGACACCGAAACTCACTGACAAGATACTTTATTGAGAACATGGGACTTTGAAATCTAACGAGCAGTCGAGAAGTCTTAATAGTACCTGACCTGGGATGTCGTGTCAATACTGATAGGTGAGCACGGTTACGGTGAATTCGCTGATGTTCCGCCATTGTTCTGTTCTCTTGATAATCAATCGAGTCTCAGGCAACTTCTCTTAACGCCAGCACATCAGGCCAGACAATAATAAACAATGAAGAGGAAGGCCAAAAAAGAAGTTCACGAATAAACTGGTCGATAAAAACTATCAGGTAGTATAAATGCAAAAAGTTATGATCAGAGTGGGATTCGAACCCACGCCTATTACTAGACCAGCATATTATGGCCACTCGGGAAGAGTGGATAAGTCCAGGAGAATCCTGAAGCTGGCGCCTTAGACCGCTCGGCCATCTGACCCACTGTTGTGATTTGATGTCAATGTGGGCTGGCTAGAATGCTCAAGCCTGGAGTGGAGTGGTGTTGCATCGTCACCATTCTACGCGATGTTGATGCCACACGATGTCATGTGTATATTTAGTTTCAACATAAGAGCCCGACGAAACTTGATCATTTGCACTAACTTGAAAATAACTGGTGTATTTTATTATCTCCCTTTTCCTTTCCTAGTTCTACGTTTGTGTCTATTTCTCCTTGTCTGGCCATGTTGGCACTGGGGGCTCAACGGAAATCTCAACGGTACTAGGTACGCAATCAAACAAGTTGACGCTCGCATTGACAACACTCTGATCAAGTCCGGCGCGCGGGAGCTTCCAGGTTGTCAACTCGTCTGACTTGAGCTAGGTTGATAAGCAAGTCTTCACAGCCCGATGTCAGTTCAAAAGCGGCTGTGTTAATTGGCACCTTTGACAAAATGTGTGGAAGCCAATTTGAATGCATCATCATCAACACCTCACTGCCACAAGTTCGTTTTCCATGGATTTCTCGACCTTTCAACTCAGTCGTACTGAGAAGCACTACGCAACCCGCCTTGAAGAGCCTGCTTGGCGATTGGGCTTCTCAGGAGCTCGTACGCCTGGATCGATGCACTAAATCAGCTAACTTGGGGGCTGTGCCCTCCCACTGGAAGCCCAACCTGGCAGCCAAGAACATTATTTAATGACTTTGCCAATGACAAAGGTGCCGATGATTAGGCGTCTATCACACCGCCTCGAAGTTCATTGCAGGTCAGCCGGAAAGGCAGTTTCAAAGCCCAAGCCCTCGCAAACGCAAGTGTGGTGATGTGCAACGCGACGCGCCACCATCCGGGATCGTGAGTTCAGACCCAACGGTTTGTTTTCACGTTATTGGCAAGTGTGGTGCTTGTCGTAATATGCAATATCGGCACTTTTTATTCATGTAGGCAGACTTCCAGGTTGCCTAGCAAGATTGTGTGTGATAAGCGCCGGATCACGATCAGCATTGATGGCAATCTGCAGATTCCGATGGCCACCAACGGGTTAGGTTTTTGGGTCGACTCGTCCCTTGCAACTTGACGCGGACCAAACGTGCTTATTTGAATCACTGCTACTGGTCGGAAGACAGGTGAGAGGCCTCCTTGTTTGAAATTGATGGTCCTCGTGCGGCAGGCAATGTCGTTTTTCTGCTGGTTCGTCTTGGCTCTTTATTTATTTTCCAAATTTCCAGTTTTCCTGCCTTGCGACAGACGGGAAGCTGCGACGGGTGTCTGTTTGTGCCCAGGCCGCAAAAGTCCCAGTGATTGACCGCCCGCTAAACCGGTTCGGTGCCGTGTGGATCCGTGCCTGGTTTTAGCACCTGACCAAGCGGACCTGGAATGGCTTGGTATTGGATTGACCAATGCGCAGCGACGGGCAGGCACAGGATGGAATTGCATTCCACCTTTTTCAGCCAGCCAAGCAAGCGTCCGATCCAAGCAAAACACCCACTGAACTTGCACTGCAAAAGTGCAAACAGCTGGGACGTGGAATTGGGCCGCCATCTCTTGATGCCCTATGAGCATCGCGGGCTTCAGCGAGCCCCAGCGTCAGATGACTTGCAATCCAAGCATCACAGACTGCGGCGCCTTTGTGCTTTATTTCTGCTTGCTCCAACGAAAACAGCCCGTCCTCCCGTTCCTCGTGCCCCTCTCAACCCGGGGCGCTGCAGCAAGCCAACAGAGGCCGGCCATGTCATCACGCCAAGAAATGCCCAGCGCCCAGCAATTGCTGGCCTTGTTCCAAAAGTCTTGGACATGGCAATGAACCTGCTTGGCAAGTCTTGGAACTGTGCATGGTGATCTAGACTCGCACGTTCGGTACATGCTGCTACTTACTCGAGACAGGCGATGATTGTGTGAGATGGGCTTTGGTCTCGGGGCCACGGCGCCGCGGCGTGGCAAGCTGCTCGTACCGCCATGTACCCACGACACCATGACACTTGCCAAGATGCTCATTCACCCATCGGCTCACAGCGAGGCGAAATCATTGTCGTGCGTCGTGCGTCGCGTGTGGTACGTGTTGCGCCCGTTTTTTTTTCTGCGTTCCTGGTTTGTTTGCTTCCAGGTTTTCCCCCAACTTGCTGTTGCTGCGCCCGGTGGTGACGACGGATCTCTCACATGTCATTATCGCCATCAAGTCCTCACCCTCACCCTCACCTCATCCATCACGGGCGCATAGCGTCGTGACTTTTGTCGAGGCCTCCACTTCTCGTCGCGTTCAAAGTCCAGTTAACATACTGAGATTCCACCAACAAGAATTTCTCATCCATTTTTGCGAATAACACCCTTCCACCGCCGTCAAGCAATTGTTGATTCGGCCTCCAATGACAGACGTTAGCCCAACGGGCAACGAGGTTGGTTCAAGCTTTTTTGTCTTTTCTTTCTCTTCCTTTCTCGGCAACCTCACCGCGTGAACAACCCACATAGGACCTGGTTGCATCTTGCATATGAACTGACGTTGAATTCAATAGCCATCCAGCTCCACACCTCCACCTCGAAGCGAGGATGCGCCAACCACAGCGCAGAATGGCACCAGCAACGGCAGCGCCCGTGCCGGGTTCCGGGTCGACGTCCACGACGCGCTGACTCCGGATCCCGGCACCGAGGACATGTTTGTCGTCGCCAACAACAAGTTCGCCTACGCCCCCGGTCAGCTCTCCAAGCTCTTCAACCCGAAGAGTCATGACGCCTATTACGCCCTTGGCGGTCTCGCAGGCCTCGAGAAGGGCCTGCGCACCAACCGCGAGACCGGCCTGAGCCTCGACGAGACCACCCTCGACGGCGCCGTGGCCTGGGAAGACGTCGCGCCAAACGGGACCCCCAAGTATGGCGCTAATGGTGACATCGAGCCCGTGCCAAAGGCTGGCAACATCGCGTCGACGGCCCCGGAACTGGCGCACGACCAACATCACGGAAACGCATACGCAGACCGCCGGCGCGTCTTCAGCGAGAATCGGCTGCCCGAGAAGAAGAGCAAGACGCTGCTGCAGCTGGCGTGGATCACGTACAACGACAAGGTGCTGATTCTCTTGACGATTGCGGCTGTGGTGTCGCTTGCTCTCGGGTTGTACCAGTCGATCGGCGTCAAGCACGAGGATGGCGCGCCAAAGGTAGAATGGGTCGAGGGCGTGGCCATCATGGCCGCCATCATCATCGTCGTGGTCGTGGGCACTCTGAACGACTGGCAGATGGAGAGGCAGTTCAACAGGCTGAACGCGAAACACAACGACCGCACTGTCAAGGTGATCCGCTCCGGGAAATCCGCAGAGATCTCTGTCTTCGACGTTATGGTGGGCGATGTCATGCATCTGTTTGCGGGTGATCTGGTTCCGGTTGACGGCGTCTTTATCGAAGGACATGGCGTCAAGTGCGACGAATCATCGGCCACCGGCGAGTCGGATCTGCTCAAGAAAACGGCTGGTGACGAGGTTTTTGCCGCGCTGGAGGAGGTTGCCAAGGGCGGCAAGCCGCGTCCGGATATCGAGAAGCTCGACCCGTACATCATATCCGGCAGCAAGATCAACGAGGGCACCGGAACCTTCTTGGTCACTGCCGTCGGTGTGAACTCGAGTTACGGCCGGATCACCATGGCCATGCATACCGAGCAGGAAGACACGCCCCTGCAAAAGAAGTTGAATAACCTGGCCGACTGGATCGCCAAGTTTGGCGGCGGCGCGGCCTTGCTGCTCTTCATCGTCTTGTTCATCAAGTTCTGCGTGGCATTGCCAGGCAATCCTGACACGCCCGATCAAAAGGGCCAGACCTTCCTGCGGTTGTTTATCACGGCTGTTACAGTCGTGGTCGTGGCCGTCCCTGAGGGTCTGCCGCTCGCTGTCACCCTAGCTCTCGCATTCGCAACCACTCGCATGATGCGCGACAACAATCTCGTCCGCGTTCTCAAAGCCTGCGAGACCATGGGCAATGCCACGACCATCTGCTCTGACAAGACAGGAACTCTGACACAAAACAAGATGACGGCCGTTGCGATGACCCTGGGCAAGACAACCAGCTTCGGCGGCACTGATCCCCCTCTCGACGACGAGGAAGCCACCACTGAAAAGTCCAGCGGCGACGGATCCGACAACACCATCACGAACCCTACTACCCCTGTCCCCAACGTCCCCGTGGCCGAGTTTGCCAAGAGTCTCAGTGAGACGACCAAGAAACTGATTATTCAAGCCAACGCTGTCAACTCAACGGCTTTCGAGGGCGAAGTCGATGGCGAGCAGACTTTTATCGGCTCCAAGACCGAGGTCGCCCTTCTGATATTCTGCCGCGATTACATGGGCGCCGCGCCAGTCCAAGAAGAGCGCTCCAACGCAAACGTAGTCCAGGTTGTTCCCTTCGACTCGGCCGTTAAGTACATGGCCACCGTTGTCAAGCTCCCCAATGGCAAATTCCGGGCATACGTCAAAGGTGCTTCCGAGATCCTGCTAGCACAGTGCACCAAGGTCCTAGCTGAGCCAGCCGGCGACGAGTTAACCACGGCCGAGCTGACAGCAGAGGACAACGAGATGCTCCTCCACACCATCACATCCTACGCCGGGCAAACCCTCCGCACCATCGGCTCCTCATACCGCGACTTCGACTCTTGGCCACCACCCGAACTCGCCGGCCACTCGGAGCTAACCGCCGCTGAATTCAACAAGGTCCACTCGGACATGACCCTGATCGGTATCTTCGGCATCAAAGACCCGCTCCGCACGACCGTCAAGGACGCCATCAAGGACTGCCAGCGCGCCGGCGTCTACGTGCGCATGGTCACGGGCGATAACCTCCTTACCGGCCGCGCCATTGCGCGAGAATGCGGCATCTACACGCCCGAGACGGGGGGCATCGCCATGGAAGGCCCCGTTTTCCGTCGCAAGTCGCCCGAGGAGCTGAAGCAGATTGTGCCGCACCTGCAGGTGCTTGCGCGGTCGAGTCCCGAGGATAAGAGGATTCTTGTGCGGACGCTCAAGGA